AAGGCCACTGTCAAAGAAACCTGGGCTTCCATACCACCTCAGCAGTGCCACAAACTGATCACCTCCATGCCATGCCGAATTGAGGCAGTAATTAAAGCAAAAGGAGCCCCTACCAAGTATTGAGTACATGTACAGTAAATGAACATACTTTCCAGAAGGCCAACAATTCACTAAAAAGTTGTCCACAGCGCGAAGTTGATGTATTTCCTCAGCGACCAGCACGGATCAGCTCCAGGCATGATGAAGCGATATCGTCCTCTTTTGGAAGGCCAAACAAAGTAGTTTCGCTTTCACAACTAAACACACAGCACCTTCACAACATGGCGGCGGTGGCAACAACAATACTACAGCGAGAATAAAAGTTACGCCTTCTTTCTTTGCGTGAACATTTGGGCGGCGTTATGCAAATCTTCCCACATCGTGACGTAGACATGTGGGGGCGTGTAAGAACGAGCCGTTTTAGCCAGTCGTGGTTGACTCTTAACTTTTATAAAGAATATCTCTTTGGATTTGAGACTTTAGTCTTTGCAACTTTACAGATCTTCTTTATGCACCAAGAGCTTCACTCCAAAGAGAAAGGAAAAATTGAAATCGCATCATATGACCCCTTTAATTCAATTATATCACCTGCAATGGTTCCTGGGATTGTAGTTCTTTCCCTCACTAAAGCTGTCAAAGTCATTTGTCATTCTGTATGAATACTTGAATACTATTTTGCTTCAAATATATTGTGATTCACCTTGTAGCTGGTTGGTTTGGTTTATAGCTTATAATGCTTTACCGAAGACTTTTTTTAAATCCCTATGGGGAAAATCAATGAAAAAAAATACAACGGAAACAACAGATTGCAAAAAATGCCCTCTGTTGTGAAATTTACTAGCAATTTCTGAGTGAAAATTGTTTTTACATCAGGTTTTTTTTTTTCAGTGCATGATGGCTTAAAATATCTGTGAAGAGGAATATGCCATTTTTTAAAGTCATTAATCGCATTTGATTTCTCTTTTCAGGATGTAAAGGACTTCATGCGATAGAGCCGCTGGAGTACGTCTACTCTCCCCTTAACCTTGTCCTTCACAGCCTCTCTCTTGCCTGGCTAGCCAAAGTCTCCCAAACAGAGCGAGGCCATGCCTCAACCTTTGACCTTTACTACACTCTGACAGTGACACGTTCCCTCTTGTTAGGGTTCCTGTGTGTTTTGCACCCTGATGGACCAAAGGCACTGATGCATGGCAACTGGCACAGTCTGCTGTTTCTGGGATACATGCTCGGGATGTTACTGCTGGGTGCTGTGCAGCTTCTCTTTGTGGATGTAACAGCACTGTATTTTTCTGCTCTCCCAGCAGCCATGCTGCATGCGACCAGAGGGCTGGTTCTGCCCCTGTTCAGGCTGCTATAGGACATACGGACCAATCAGAGTGTAGATCATTCTGAAGAGGAACCGTTTATGTAGAATAACCAATCAAATACCTGATCAATCAAATACATGATTGATGATAACAGTATTAAAACCAAATTTATAGGCATGACATCCTCATGTTAAGATAATTATAATTAATTAATATGGTAATGCTACCAGTTAGCACTGATGTGCGACTCCTTTCTTCGCTTGCACTGAAACTATGACACAACTATGACACACATCCTACAAATGGGGTGTTTTCATGAAGGAGCTGATACTTAAGTTCTGGAATTAAATTATTAAAGGTAAAATACAGGTCTCTCAGACCAGCTTTTTTTGTACAGGCTATATTATTATTTTTATGTCTCAGCTGGAAGTTCTGAGAAAGAAAAAAAATTTTTTTTTTTTTGCATAAAGAAAATTAAGCCTTTTTTAGGACCTTTAGGGTTTGCATTGCAATGTAATTTTCATGATAGTTTCATAAATAAACCACAGTTTCATAGTGCAAAATCCTCATTCTAATTACTGCAATGCAAAAATTAAGTTATGGTTGTAGCCTATTGGTTGTACTGAAATTGTGCTTTTATTTTATGCTTTTAGTTTTAAAAAGTCATGAAAATGACAAACATCCAGATGCATTACAGTAAAAAGAATGGACAATGCGCTTACTTGCCATTAAAATAACTACAAAATACAAAAGTAATGAACCTTAAAGGCCATAAAAAGACCTTCATTTTTAATGCAAAATATATAGATTTTAATTTTTTTATATTTTGAGGGTGAAATATGATCTAAGCATGTTCTTGACAAGCTTTGTGAGAGTCACCTAAGTATGCCATTCCTCTTACAATAACCTTACAAACTTAGACCAGAGGAGCCCTTCACTGCATGGTTTCTAGAAATATAAACTATAAGCTATAAAGGGATATAAACTGCAATACAATGACTTAAGACTATTACAGTAGTAATATATGATTTAAATAGAATACCTGTGACTCATGTATTTATTTAGCTCCTAATATACAGTACAAACTACAGTATTATTGTTAATGTTTGGAGCAAATAAAACATATTGATGAGGTCTTCTCCTACCTAAACTAGTGTTTCTGTTTTTCTTCTCATATTTTGGTATAAATAGAATTAGAACATTTCCAGCACCTTTTCTTTATGATGTAAGCAGTACATAACGCACAGATACAGATCACACCTACTACGCATTTATATTGTTACCAGCGTAGGCCAAAGTCTGCCCAAGCAAGAATCATGAGGGTAAAAAAGTTCTGAGGCTTTGCTTCTAATCAGGCATGATTGATTTCTCTCTAAAGACTTGGTTAATGTTACACGAGCATGCAATTTGTTTAGTTTATCAGTAATGTCAGCGTAGATAAGCACTGTGAAATATCGCCATTCCTTTTCTATGATAGATAGCTGTAACTGATATTTGCTGTTGTAGTGCATACTTATCGGTTTGATTAATCTCAAATTACGTAATCGTAATTTATGAAACATCTCAGAAAATATTATCTTTATTCAAAAAGATAAAATAATATTTAATGGAGAACAACATGATAAACATCTTATCAGAGAATAAATTCCCAGTTAGTTTTTAGGGAAGTGCTCTGTGTTGAAGGAAACGCCAATTTTAGGATGTAACAATTCACAGTTCAGTACTGGGTGTGGAGCAGAACCCCATAAATGTAGCCACCTGATAGAGGAACAGTTGATGTGCACTAGGTGAAGGAACACTGAGTGCGTGATAAGTCTCTGAGAGTTGATTTTTCCCACTTTAGTTTGACGTATCAGGACTGATCTGCGTCAGGTGGGATGTGGATGCCTAGACTCTGCAGTAGGTTAGAAGCAGGCCCAGCAAGGCCGGCCTGAGAAGCAAGAGACTCCAGTAAATTTGAAACCAGGTTGAGATCCACATCAAGTGGCTGGATTTCTTCCTCAACAAGCTCTGACCTTGAGGCAGATGATGAGCTTTTAGATGCATCTGCTTTATTACTGGCCTAAAAGGAAATGGAAAAATAAATAAATCAATAAAATAAAAAAAAATTCACAAGGTTATGTGCACAGGATAAACAACATCTGTGGAGACTCACTCTGTTATTCTGTGCAAAGCTTTTGCCAATATTTGTGCTTTGCAGTTCCTGGTCCATTTCATCCATGTATTTCCTCAGATTGTCCAGCGCCTCGGCACCTGCCTGCTCCTGAGACTCGCCATTCTGCACTTCTTCATCATCGTTGACATCATTGCCTTCATCATCATCATCCTCAAAGTCGTCAGAGTCTAACTCATCATCCTTACTTCCTGTAAAACAGGAAGTGCAAATTATTAGTGCTTTTCGGGTAGTGCAGATTAGCAGTTAACCAATATATTTTGCATTTGTTAGTTACTACCATCAGCAAAAAAAAAAAAAAAAAAGCAAACTACCATCAGTTTTTCTATTTGGCCAATGTATCAGAAATGACAGAATTGACAACGCAAAATATATGTGAAAAATATATTATAATGGGATTACAGACAGAATAAAGAAGTTGCCATATGAATAAATGTTTATTTTACAGATTTTTTTTTTTTGGTCAAATTGTTGTTTTTAAATGTATTCATTTTTTAATTATTTCTAATTTAGTAAATATTATGTGAAATAAATATGAATTTCATTTCAGCAATTGTTAGGCATGTGTTTTTTTCTCTAAAATTAAACAATGTGATATCATATACATTGACTTTACATCAGCCATCATGCTCTGTAAAATATCATCAGCAACAGCAATAAAAAAATAAATAAATACTGCTCGTCCACCAGTGCAGACAATTAAATTGGGCATAAAAATAGGCATACATTTGATTTCTAAATAAAATTACAAAGAGTTCAGTTTAAAGAAAAATAAATCAGCTTTAACAAAAAAAATTAAAATAAATATATATATATATACACACACCTTTTTTCCAAAAGTGGGATTGATTTAAATGGTCTAATTTCTCTGAAAATCAAACTCACCTAGCAGTCTATCAAGTGCACTGGTTACTGCATCTGGATCATAACTAAAGGGCTCAGCCAGACAAGATCTGAAACACAATTCAGGAAAAGACATAAATGATCATGGTGAATAATAACTGAAGTATTGACAATTCAGATGGAATATCATTACCTGGGTATTTCAGCTCCTTCATGAGAGGACACGGCATTGATGAAGTTCTTCATGCCTTTCGTTACAGCTATGAGACTGTAGCCAGCCTCTTCCTCCTGCAGCTCCTCATCAGGTTGTGGCGTCTTGCGAGTGCCATCGCTCACCCCTCTACCTCCTCTCTCCTCAAGCAGCCTCTCCAGCTCCTGAGGTGAGATGTCTAACCATGCATCACCTACAGGGGGCGATTGAGAGGACAACACTATTGATTCCGAGAAGACAGAAACCATTTTTGTGCTTGATTCACAGTCTAGATTCACTTTCAACAAAAGTAGTGAATCAATTATACTAGATTACACTCAATATTTGATGCCAATATGTGCAGTGCACAGAGAAAACAATATCAGATAGAATACATACTGTCCTCTGGTGGTAGATGTGCCTCTTGATTTTTTAGCTCTTCCAAACTGTAGGAGGCATCCTCCAAGACATTCATCACCTCTTGGCCAGGATTCTGAATGTCAGGGCTTGAGAAAGAGTAACATGAGACTTACACACTACTGTTGAAAAGTCATTTATGCTCAACAAGGTTGCATTTCTTTTATATATAAAAAAAACAGTAGACAGCAATATTTTGAAATATAATTAAAACTCAACAAATGTTGTCACATGGTCCTTCAGAAATCATTCTAATATGCTGATTTGGTACTAAAGAAACATTTCTAATTATTATCAATGTAAAAACAGCTGTGCTCTTTAATATTTTATGGAAACTGTGATACATTTTTTTTCAGGATTTTTTAATGAATAGAAAATTCGAAAGAACAGCATTTATTTGAAACAAAAATCCTTTGTAACATAAAACACCTTTGCTGTCACTTTTGATCAATTTACTACATCCCTGCGGAATAAAAAAGTATTAATTTATTAGTGACCCCAAACCTTAGAACTACACGTACATACCAGTACATTTACACACAGATAAAGTCAAATAAACTTGATTTTGAACTGTGACAATGAACAACAAATAATAAAAAAAAGTCACTCTCACCGGTGAGTGCTGGTTACAGACTGTCTGAAGAAACTCTCTGCTGATGTCATTAGATCTTTGTATCGAATGGATCCTTCTAGTTCACCCTGGGTTTACAAAAATACACAAACACATAAGCAAAAACACATCCACACACATACAAAATGAAAGAGACGTTTATGTTTTATTAAATCGTTTCTCTCAGGCAAAGGAATCTTTGCATCATCTGCTTCATTAGAGTATTTTGAACAGAAACTCTTTCCTACCTTAAAATATCCATTCTTTTTGAGACTATCTAAAAAGCCTCTCCATAGTGGGTTACTGCTGACTGAAGCCTCTTTCTCTGATGAGGACTGTCCACTCTTGGAGCACAGGATTTCAAAGCCATGGGCCTTAGACATGAACAGAAAAAAGAACACTGCGCTATAGTTACAAAATTATTTATGTGAAAAATCACATTTCTGAGCATATTTTAAAAATCCACTTGTAAAATACTTGGAGAAACAGTTGTTCATCTCTGTAAGATTATAACCTGCGTGTTAATTGTCAGCTTTCTCCATACATGACTGGAGAACAAGATAACACATAACAAACTCACCAGTTTCATTCCCAGCTCATGAGCTCTGTACTGGGGATGAGAGCGGCCGGGAAGCGTGAAGCCACTCCTCCGATCTGGAACAAAACTCTGTTGTTGCAGCTGTGCATACAAGCAGCGAGTAAACTTTGCCTACAGGAAAGGGGGAAGGGAACAGTTTCATAGCTACATCTTTTAGCTATTACTGCTATATTTTAATATAGCAGTAATAATGTATTACTCCACTCTTCTAATATGCTAAATTGGTGTTCAGGGAGCATTTCTTATAATTATTCATGCTGAAAACAGTTTTGCTGCTTAGTATTTTTGTGGAAATCAAGATGTTTTTTTTTTTTCAGGATTCATTAATGTCTCTTAAAAACAGTATTTATTTGGAACTAAACAGTCTGCTTCTTACTGATGTCATAACTCTAGTGTCAGGAGGAAACGTGCGGAAAGTTCGACAGGCCTGGAGGTCAACAGGGTCACGCAGATAGAAAGCAGACACGGCAGGGGATATAAGGTCAGGCCTCCTAGACAACACCACAGCAATGCCCGCAGGCACATAACAGTGAACACGGTGGAAATTCTGCTGGATTTTATCTGGATACCTGCACACATATACAAATGATTATAGAGT